CACTCACACTGCTTGAGTAAATGATTATGAAAGCGCGTTCTGCAGGCGGCCCAACTCCGTCCTTCCAGCCTTTTGCTGATTGCCATCCAACCCCACCCCATAATCCGGAGCTCGAGCACTGTTTTGTCTTCCTGGGCTGACCATGGCCTGGTAAGAAGAGACCGACCATGCCGTGCTTTTCTAATATCAGAGGACTTGGATCCCACACATCCCCCATTTTCAGAAAGACTCCTGGCCATTGCGTTCTGCATGGTTACTGTAGAGATGTAGAGGAGTGGTCGACGCAGAGATTGATTTTCAGTGAAAGGACTCCGAGTGTATGAATCGGATTAGTACTGTATCTTGAGCCTTACTGCAATGGGGTGGGTGCAGTATTTGAAATGTTCGAATGTCGAACACTAAAGGATCAAGATCAGGTACACCCCTTACCACCAAATCCTACACAAACTGGCTTATAAAAACATTGAGCGTTGCTACGCAAAGATTGTAACCTAACAAAGTGAATTTAGAGCTACTGTAGGGTTTTATCTCACTGACTGCGTTTGATTCTACGCTCAAATTAGTCTCCTCTGATATCAAATACTTATTTGAAATTGAACACATCAAGTAATGGATCAAGCAAAGACAACTTACTGTCACCTTTATAGCTCGTTTCCCTTATTCAATCCTCTTGCACATATTAATCCGACAGTTTTATAAAACTTTGCCAAAATGCGAGGCGATCAATGTAGCTTATGGGGTTTAATAGAAAACTTGAATTAGCGTGACTTGGTGAAAAATCGTCCTAGCAAGCTCTGGCGCGATGTGGTAGCGGTATCGCGCAATCTGAGACTTCTGACATCTGAGATGGAAATTCCGTGTTCCGTTGATTCGACTGCTTGAGGTGAGCATAAAAAAGTGTGCCATTAGGATGGCCCGAGATGCTGAGTGGTCAGCGCAGGGAGCATACTTAGGAGTGCTTTACAGTGGTGAAATAGGGCTTACAGTAGTATAATGGAGTGATCAAAAGAGACCGAAACGCAGAGCAATATTATTCCGAAAATTAAGCAAAATGTGAGCAAAAGTTTGCTAAGTATTGTGTCAAAAGTTGGTCAAATAAGGGAGGGCATGGACTGAGGAGAAAAATAACACAAGGTATACTCATTTCCAAGATCCAAGTAGCAAGTTGAAGTGGTCAATTTAGCCTTACTTACTAGCAGCGGCCAGTATATTGGTATCGCCGGCTAGGTACTGTAATGTGTGCACAGTTGAGTGGACAGTGTTTATGTCCCAAAAGCAGAAGCCAATTGATTCACTATTGCATCAATCTAGATAGATAAAGACATACGGTATTGCCAGATCAGTTTCCAAGCTAAACCCCCTGATCCCGTGCGCGGACACGGCGGCAACAACACCCCAGCCGCAGCTTCGCACAAGAATACATATATCAAGGTCACCCCCCGACAGCTATTTTCTTATGTCTTCCCTGGTAATCGCTGGAGGTTCAGGTTTTCATCAATCCGACAGTTCGGAATATCTAAAAAAGTGCGTAATTTGGAATTGATCAGTTATGTCTACAATTCCGGGGCTCCAGATCATCGAATAGGACAGGCTCGCCCGCTATGAGTGTTTAAAGATGAATTAATTTGTTATCGTGTGCAAATAGGTGAATTTAGAGGGGCAAATAATGATGAATCTGAGGATCAATAACGACCATAGCTAAACGGGCGACGAGGGTGTAAGAACTCATCGATAACAAAGCCACTAGCAATAATAACCTTGGAATATTCACCAAGATCCAGGTACGTTAGGACCTCGCTAGCCAGAAGATCCTCATGAAGGTCCGCCTGTTTGGCAAGGCTCCAGTACCAGCGGACCGATCTGTATCGTTTAGGACCGTCCAGCATACGAAGAGACATGCGAACCATGACTCCAATATAGTGGCATCTGGCCTCACACCACCAGCTGGCATATAAACATCCATGATGTACTGTACGGTGGGGAACTTCATGCAGCAGGGACTGCGCAAAAGTCCTACACCAGCCCCACACCGTAATATTATAGAATATTCTGCCAGTCGAAATATCTGTCTAGGATTAACCTGAAAGTTATTATAGTACCCCTGTAACAGCAAAAAGTTTGTCAATTGAACATTGAATTATCCCATGGACGTCTATATTGGACTTTCAGTCAATTTTCTCATCTACTTTGCGCGAGGTATACCATGACTATAGACAAGTTTGACAGGCGGTATAGCCTTACGATTGTCGGTGTGGTGGGTGGGTCTCGGGAACCGGGAGGATTGTATATACCATAGTGTACATTGACGCGACATTAGTTTTCGTACCCTCGCCCAGAAGGCCTAACCTCTAAGCTACCGCCTATTATGTCTTTATAATTATAAAACGCCCGGAGACTATTTTAGATATAGTCAAAGCAATTTTTTCATCACAGGTGTATTCGCTGACTTGAGTTGAACGTGAAATGATACTACGGGGTGTTTCAAACAGGCAGGCCGAATATTCGGTAATGACGCGTGCGCGGAGTGGTAATATTAACTCCTGGAGATGGATGAACTGGATATTTAAAAAGTCGAAGCTTGTAGGCTGGATACCTTAGTTTTTATAGCCTCACATGCGGAATTGATGCTTGCTACACTAGGATTCTTTGGGCAGCTTCCTGGGAAAGTTCTCAAACGTCTCGTCTGAAGCCTCAAGTTCCCTCTTCAGTGAAGTTTGGGATGTTTTCGCTTCGTGGGGTATCTGTTGTGACTGGGAAAAGATTTCAATCTGGGAGTTTGCTGACTGCATTCCAGTCACAGAAGCGCGATCCTGTGTAACTATTTGCTGTTGCTGAGCCAGAAGCTGAGACGGAAGCTGACCTCTAGCATTGACGGTCTGCATGCCCTGTGTAACAGCCTGACTCCGTGTAAAAAATAGTTTTTGTTGGAGTAGCTGTTGCTGGTAAAAAGTGCGGGGATACATCTCTCGTTCATATTCCACTTGAGAAATTGCAAGGCAAGAATTTGGAATAATTGGTTGTGGAGGCAAGCCATATATAGCCTGTGGGCGATTCAAGGCGATCATGGGGTAGTAGCTTTTGGCGCAATCTAGATATCCAAAAATTGCCACCCTATTGGTTTGACTGGCAAATTTATGAGGGCACCCGCATGGTGCACAACCGTTGCCCAAGTTTACTTTTCAGTTAGTGATTGGTATCTCACGGAAATGTATAGACCAACCATGACGTACCTGTATTTCCATGTAGGAGCTCTGCCCTGGCGTCGAGGCAATTTTCTTCGTGGAGGACGATGTGATACATAGTACTAGGGAGACAAGACTTTCTGAACGATTCCGTCTCATTGTCCTCCCAAGTAACCATCAAGCACCCCTTCTGATTAGTGTGCGTAACTTTGATACTGTGAGGCATATACCTGAGCAAGTCCCGAATTTGACGCAGGGCTTTATTTTCAGCCGCTCTCCACATGCTTGAGTATTGGAAAATAGAGCCCCAAGAAATTCTTAGTAGCTCGTCGATGATATGCTCGCAGAAAAATGGTGCCTCTATTCCGGTCATTTGAATCGGGAAAGAGGAACGACAAGGGTTACCTCGATGTATTTCTTGAAAATCAAGCCACTTATTGTTGATCTTCAAGGTTTTCTGCTCAGCATCAAACAAAATGTCCATAGCACTTTTTTCACATTGAACAAAATGCACTTCGACGTCCTGTGCCCAAGGAATGACTGCTAGGCCAGCCTTGACTGCTCGTTGTATCGTTTGTGCAAAGCATGATGAGGGTACAGATACATGTGCATTTCTAAATTGCTTAATCTGTTCCTCTTCCGGCGTTCGAAGAAGGGACTTTGACCGGAGCAAATTCCAAAGGAGTTCCGGAAGCCTTGCTGGCTCCTTTTTCAGTAAATCTCGGATAATCCCAATACTCTGCCCCATTTTCATCAGACAAAGGTAAAGTCATGGGATGATTAGTTGCACTGACCTTGGAATTGGACTTTTCGCTATAATAGAACTGTTTACCTCCTGTATCGCACAATAAGTGTCTCCAAATAAGCGTTTTTGTAGTGTCTCCCAAAAGAACGTCTGCAGATTCAACATCCGGCGCTTCAGGAAAGTTCCGCAGAAAGTCGACATAGACCGGAAGCACAACTTTCTCATTCCCCTGGATTGCAGACTCCCAAATCTGTCTCACATCGTTGGCCTCCTCGTGCTTATCAACCAGGATTTGCCTATCTCGGTTCACCCTTCCCTGAGTGAAGTTGTAACCAAGCTTGTATGGCTTGAGCTCGGAAGAGGTGGCTGGCAGCAGCATACCTTGTAGATAGATTCTGCCACAAAAGTGGGGATCAAGAATCAAATCTCCGACATCGGTTTCAATAACTTGAGACGGATAGGAGATTCCACGAATATCAAGTGTCACTTGCACCCATGTCTGAAAAGCTGCAAGCGAAATTTTCTTGCCGTGCTTACCCCTTGCGGGTTCAACCACGACCACAACATCTCTCTCAATATGAGAGTGCATTCGAGCCATATCCTCAGTAGGATCGGTTTCAGGACCATACCCCACTATCTTTGATGGCCTAATCATGCAACGGAACCTAGAACCAACAAAAGAAAAGCTCCAATGGCTATTTGCTGTGGCAATCTTTACGCTTTAGCCATTGCGTGACATGACTAGAGCTGCCAGTTTGAGACCCTCGCCATGACAGCCTGCCAGATTGGGGTTTTCTCGTTTCGAAGAATGCCCAAGATCCAGAGCCTCGGGTTTCAGTTGTGCACAAGGGTTGACTAGAATCGTTCGGCCAGTCTTTTTGTCGTATCGGATGAATCCTAGGGCTCGACAGGGCTCATTTGGATTTGAAACATCTGGTACGATGATAGAAACGCAATCTTCTCTGTCCTCGTAAAGTGGCTGAAATTTTAGACGATCTAGGTCAAACTGTTCCAAGATAGCGTCCTTCCTGGTAGTCGTTAGTCTCCGAAGCTCTCGAAGATGAAGTTCAGCATTACCAGTTCTGATACAGCTCTCGGAATGCATCCGTTGTGTCCCAGTCTTTCACGTAGGACAGAGAGATGCTAAGTGGGAACGTTTTCTGACGTCCCGAGCATATGTCCTCTTCGCTTGGCTCGTTATTCTTTGTCTCACATTTGAATTGTTCGCCCGGGTTTAGCGGAGGCTGGTCAAGGATCTCTTCCTGCTCGCAGGATGGGGACTCGTTCTTAGGTTGGCTCATGATGGGAACTTACTCAAGATATGATCCTAATATTGGTTGCGATTCTCTCTTTATAAGGTATTTTAGGTATTGTCTGCCGATCATTCTCACCTCCCAACGTCATAGATTCCGGGCAAGATGTGGAAAAGGTGAGGAAATTGCGAAATCACACTATAAGTGGAATGCCATTGAACAAACTCTAAAATATTTGTATTGATTGACTGTGCAGTATCTGCAAATTGGATAGAGTCACTTTGAATTAATCTCCTTTTGAACGGCCTTCAAAACGCTACAGTTATAGAGACACATACAGCATCAAACAAATATAGCGAGACCGACAGAAAGCAAAATTTCTCCATGTGATACTGCATTGTATGCTCTGGATTACGCTACTTTCAAATCAGAGCGAGAGCCAATTCAAACCAGCGGTCGATTACACCGGTTGGCCATTATTATACATTCTCTGCCTATTCATCACTCTCTTAACTCATCGCTTTCAATGGATACGTTTTTGAACCGCAATTTTAGTGACACATATTGATCATTGTCTAATATTCCTTGAATCTGTCGGAGCAGATTCTTCCAGCTCATCAAAATCAATGAATATAAAAATCAACACAGTGTAGTCAGTCCCGGCGTTTCCTTTGGTTTCAAAAGAATAAAGATTCATGTACTAGCAGAATCGGGTAAGTTGATGATATTTTGCGACCAGCTAATTGAAGCAACCTATGGGCAACCTTGAAGCTTCCAACTGTTCAAACGGGCCTTTGCCAGCTCCCAGCCGGCAACTTCAATCCCTTGGCAAACAACAACTGTTATTCCTATTAATATTGGAGCATTCAGTTTGATTGCGGTGCAAAATGAGTCGTTGGATAAAAGTCGCGTGCGCCACAAAAGTGTGGCGTTGAAACGACGATGCCTCCAAACAATTTCAAATTGGTGCTAGGGTTTGATGCCGCAAACTCCACCAATACGGTCTATGTACAGATATGCGCGTGCGTGCGAAGCCGGGTCACCTCTTGTCCCCACAAGCAAAAAGCTTTTGAGTATATAAGAACACCTCTCTGATATTGCTCCAAGAGAAATTGGGATTAATGGAACTTAGCAGATGATTAAAGTCAAGACTAACGCCGTACCATCACTGTAGCCATATATGAACATCACAGAAACTTTATTCCTGTTTGATGATATCAGGATCCTCATTGGTTACGGTCCTCTCCCCAGACAGGGGCTTCTTGGCCCAGATTCTCTTCGCGCGCTGATAGGCATGAAAGTGAGGGGTTTTAAGTGCTTTCCGCATTTCCGCAACATAGACTAGTACTTCCTCCTTTGTCCATGGCGCCGGATCTCCGAATTTAGTAAGCAGGTACATCGAGTATCCCTCCATGCCCGCGATCCAATGCTGAATATTGACCAAGCCAGCCTCTTTCAATGCTTTGTCTCTCGGCCATGCCCCAATAGGCCACTTCGTAGTCTTTTCATGAACGTCAACGAACCCAGCTCTCTCAATGGATGATCGCATAGTTTCCGTGATATTAAGGGACTTTCCCAGTTTTTTGCCAGCGGCGAAGAACCGAGGCCCCCAAGTGAAAAGGACACTATCCGCTGGTATGCTGCCATCGTCACACTCACAGCGAATATCCATTTCTATCTGCTCAAACCAGCCGCCATCTTCGAGGTTGTCATAACACTGTCTGTAGAGTGAGGCCCATTCGTCCGGCGTAAAGGCCCCAATACCGTGCCGTAGATGAATCAGGTCAAACTTTGAACGCCAGGTCCACTGCCTCAATACATCGTCTACCTCGAAGATGCAGTTTGGCGGGACCCAACTGTCGGGCGGAGGATACAAATCGACACCTCGGACAACAGCGTGGGGGGACATATCGGCTACGTCAATAGCCCATGAGCCCTGCCCTGTCCCAATATCGAGCACATGCTTTGGCGTTTGGACCGGTGCTAGGTACAGTGGATTTGGTTCGTCGGCGTTCATGAGAAGGCATGCAAGATGTCCATTTCATACGTCTCAAACTGTTGTTCGTCTGAGGGGCTGAAATATCCAGCAGCTCTCAGGGTTTGATATCGTCGGCCATTTTCCATGAATCCTTTATACAAGGAGGAGGCGATAGATGTGGTCTTGGATTTCCAGTCTTCAGGGTCGCGTTTGTTCGAGTCTGGCAAATGCAAATTCGGATCCGGGGTGATTATGAAGTCGGCCATAGTGGAAAGATCACCGCTAGTCGCAGATCAATAATTGCCGCTTTTGAATATCTGAAAAGACCGTCACCAGGATGTATGCTCTGACTAGGGCAAGTGAAAATTTCTCTAAACCTCTCTTTTCCCCAGCCAACGGTGCACCAAGATTTGTAGAAGTAGGCGTGGGTTGGCAAAGTAATTGTGGCGAGTATCATGAATCAAAGATAATACATAAGACATGCCCTGCATGGCTGGAATGTCCCTATTATCTCTCGTTAATTCTGGCCTGACGGCTTCTTCCTTGGAAACAACAAGATGCGCACTGAATGTCGGCCAAGCGAATCATGGAGGTGCGGGAATGGGAAAAATGTTAGACGGCTGGAAATCTCACTCGCCCCTCAGTCGTTCTGTCTCCTGGAACTGGAAGCGCCGTGGTGGGTCACCGCAAGTAGTGTGGCCTCCAGGCCAATGAGTCGCGAAATACGGTGGGTACAATATGCAGGCAGTCGGTTTTGGTAGCTGAGCGGGGTAAATACAGCAAAATAGGCTTTACCACTACATGCACTCGAAACCCCAAAATTTAGCCTTCGTGGCTTAGTAACGAACTGCCAGCACAGACCTGGCATCCCCCTAAGATGAGAGCCTTGGAAGAAAATAATGGAGATCAGAATCTAGCCCACGTCTTTCCGTCGTCCGGGGGATATGGTGTGCGGGCCGTTTCAGCGACCCTCATGCATGAGGCAGCAACGGTTGGCGTAACCCCAAATTTTACTAAGCAAGTCTCGTGTTCTACACGCGTAACAGGTCACTAGTGCTAGTTTCCTGTGCACGCTCCCCTCCAATGGTCGCCATATTTCTTCTAACTACTAGCGTAGCAGGTCACTGTCACCTCTAGGGAGGACCGTGCCTACCAACACCGAAATACGTTCCTCAATTTTTCCGAATCAGAGGAATCAGCTCGCTCTAGCACTGTAGCCGGCAGTTATCCATACCCGACTTCTGTATGTTATCCCGCCTCATGGTGTTTGTTAATAGCTGGCGTGCCTGTGCGTTGGCTCTTGTCAGCTCAGTCATTACTCGCGCGATTGTTAGGCGATATTGGACCTCGATCCGGGATATCCCTGGCCCACTGTTGGCTTCATTCTCGAACCTCTGGCGGGTTTTGCAGATTTTGAAGGGCCATACCGAAGCAGAAACGATCATGTTACATAGAAAACACGGTATGCATTTGTGATCTACCTAACCGAGCCCTGGATCAGAATATGCGTATCCTTACTCCAAGTGTACTGTGAAGGGTACTTTGTTCGCATCGCGCCAAATGAAGTCAGCGTTTCTCATCCCGACGCTGTCCGATAACTGCTTCATGCCCAAATTGCAAAGGTATTGGGAAGTCCTTCCTTTACGTGTCTGAGCATCATACCAAACTATATCACAGGGCCCATGGTATGCAATCCTGAGTCTACCAGACTATCGCTATGTCAACCAAATGTCGGAACTAGACCCCCAGCAACATATCAGAAAACAGCGAAACATCTCGTCAGGCTACACTCTCTCCAATATCATTCAACATGAGCCCCATTTCGACGCAGTACTCCTGCTGTTGATTGCCCGCCTGGACGAATTTTGCAAGTCCAACCATCCCGTTGATTTAGATCAGTGGTTTACCTTTTTCGCTTTTGACGCTGTAGGCGAGGTCATATTTTCTAAGTCGTTTGGCTTTCTTGAACGTGGTAAGGATATCAGAAACGCCATTGCAAACCAAAGACTACTAGCGCCCTATGCTGCGATAATGGGCTACTATACGTGGTTCCATAACCTTACACTCGGGAACCCTCTCCTTAGCCGATTGGGAATCCAGCCTTCGTCTCACATTTTTGACACGTGTAGTGCGGCCATCGATGCACGAAAGCAAAACCCCGCAAAGCGAAATGACATGATGCAGAAGTGGCTGGACACTCGTGCCAAGTATCCTGATCGTATGGAGGAGATTGAGATCTTTTCTACAGCCGTTGGGACACTTGGCGCTGGTGGAGATACTGTTAGCGCAACAATACAGGCGCTATTCTATTTCCTGATTCGGCATCCCCCTTATATGATTCGGCTTCAGGATGAGCTCGATGCGGCTGAGGCCCGTGGGGAGCTCTCGCATATTGTTCAGTATGCCGAAGCACAGAAACTACCTTTTCTCCAAGCTTGTGTATGCTGAAGATGTCATATCATTTGTATATCTGGATGTTAACACTACATAATAGATGAAAGAGACATATCGGTTCCATATCGCCGTTGGTCTCGGGCTACCACGAGTCGCTCCCCCTGGTGGAATTACTATCGCCCGCAGATTCTTCGCGGAAGGGGTAAATGTCTTCCTACCCATTTTCCTTCTCTGTCGTTTGGAATTGACGTGAACTCCAGACCATTCTAAGCGTAAATCCCTGGGTCATTCACCGCAACCCTGAGATATTCGGTGAGGATTGCGACAGTTTCAACCCAGACCGTTGGTTCCGGAAAGAGTGCGGAGATATGAATGCATTCTTGATCCACGTATGTACCCACCTTTGACTGATCAGCATCTGACCATTCTTTTCTATCCTCTTTCTGGCACTGACAGTTTCCATCCATAGTGGAGGGCAGGATACAACGCATGTCCAGGACGAATTTTGCTCAATTTGAAATATCCAAGCTTGCTGCCACGCTGCTCCGGCATTTTGACATCGAACAAATAGACCCCAAGTAGGAGTGGACATGGCATGATCATTTCATCTGCGTGCCTTATAAATGGCCCTGCAGAATTCGACGTCACCTGAGGGACTAATCCAGGATCATACCATAACCACTCTCGCAAATTTAAGTGGCCACTGATATTGTGGTGAAAGAACAATGACAACGGTCTCGGTTAAAAAAAGAACATAGCATAGTGCTCTGGGCATATTAATAAGATACAGCACCGCTACATCATAATGAGTGACTTGCTTCCTGAGAACGGATTGAGAGCATCATCAAGACCTCTCATGACTATATTATCGCTTGTTCCCACCTTAATCTGAGCGTTCAAGCTGGCCTGATTGACCCTGGCCACGAAGTTCATCCTCTACTTCCTTTGCAATTCTCTCACCCTTAAAAGGGCCCCCAGCAATAACGAAATCACTATTTCCTCTGCAGAAATTGCCTCTAAATGTCTCCTAATAGAGTTATCAGCCTTAAGATTATTTTGCGGTCCATCAGCCACAGGTGAAGAAAAACGCCAAACTCCTGTCGACCGCCATCTTGGAGTGGAATTTTCTATCAATTCAGCAAAAATGGGTAGCTCTTATCCCGTGATTCGGATGCTCCATGAACTAGTAAACAGTTCTATCGGAAACGTTTTTATGACGGCGTCAGAAATTTACCGGTCGCTCTACAACCTACTAATAAATCTACATGCACCTTTAGAATTACTACGCTGCCCCTCGATATATCATGAGTCTGGTGGTTTACGAACTATTATGATTCTAGTTCACCAAAACATAGTTACAAGTCGAATCTCGTGAAGATATTTTACTGGCTGTTGGCCGACAAATTGTCTTCGTACTGCATACTAAGCTAGGGATAATGTGTAGTTATATTATGTACAGCGATAGTCAAAGTCAGTCCCCGCCACCCAACAAAAGAAAACCTTGCAAATTGATTCCCGAAAAGCGAATCTCACGTCCGCAAGTCCTGATGGAATATGAGGCTGTAGCTCAAATGAGTTATTCTGAGAAGCGATCTTGCTTCATCAGCCTTGGTCTTATGCCAAACATGAGCCAAATCATCTCATCGCCTACCTGCAAACGAAACAGGCAGCACCACCAGCCAGCTATACATAAAACTCTCGCCGAATGGCCATGACCGCGGCATCAATCGCGGGAGATAGAACCTCGGGATTGCAACACTATCGAAGATACTCTGGCAAGCGGCTCACACAAGTGATTATCCGAGTACACGTTATCCCTACTCGCGTCTATGAATAGATGGTCCTCCACTTTTTTCCATATTGAAGCCCGCAGCCACTAAAGCAATTGCAAGGCCGCCCATCTGTGCCATATGGAACATTACGGCGCTATCGACGTGATAGCGCTAGTTCTTGTTTATCACTTTCGAGACAACCACCCTTGGCGCCCAGATTAATACCGAGAAGTGCTTCCAGTTGTGGATTTTGTGCGCTACTCCTTCGAGTATTCACGTTTTTGTTGTTGTTGTTGTTGTTGTCGCAAACGGGAACTTCTCCGTAAACCACCCCGGCCCTTGTGTTGTTCACATATCGATAATGAGGCTGCTTGTGAGCGCTTCGTGATGCGGGATGACTTTGCTGTATTTCTCCCGGGCCATTTTTTGGGCTGTTGCTGTTTGGCTGGACGGTTTTCGGCGAGTCTTGACAGTGGAGGAGGATTCATGGGCTGGTCATTCGTGACATACGAGCCGAAGTAACCGACGAGAGAATCGTAGGAAAAGTTTCGAGCTAGACGTAAGAAAAGAGCCCATAAAAGAGTCTCGTCCGGCGCCGCGTTCCAATGTGACAGCTCACCGCTCAACAGTGCTTTGGTCTTTTCCCAGGCGACCTGGATCTCTTCAAACCTCTCGTTCTGTCGCGTCTTGAGCAGAGTTAGGAATTCATTCTTGTCCTTTGCGATATTCGCAATATCACAGACGTCATGGTGCCAGCCGTGAGGATCTTGGATCGCGCACTTCACGGAGTTGAACTCAGCATGCAGGGTGGTAAACAGAACGTTGGGATCATCATAGCCAAATTTCCAGAAAGGCCACTGCCACTCCTGATCCAGCTCATAGTCGGGCTGAGGTGTATGAGCCTCCAGGTGATTATCTATCGTCCTAGACTGAAACCAGCTGGCCATGGAGAATGTAGGAATGGTAGAGTCTACAGACACCTAGATTGTTTACAGCGGATTATGGCGTGGCCGAGCTCACCGCCTTATTGGGGCGGTGAATAGCCACTTTATTCCATCGGATATTCTGCCACCAGCATGGACTGGTTGTGATGAAGACTTGTATCTATTACAGTATTAGCGGCAGGGCCAGGCCTGAACGAATCAAAGTTGCGTAAATGAAGGGCAGAAAGAAACTGTCATTACTAGACTGTTTTCATTGGCTTTGGAGTAAGCCTGTCCACAAGTTGGGCCGCGAAGACCCCCTGGTTTATTTTCGTGGGCGCTTACCCGGCGCTTCGGTTCCCTTGTAGATCGCAGTATACAAATATCAAGTTTTAGGGCCGAACACATATACGCTACGTATGAGCAGTGATTTTCATTTAACAATGTCACTCAATTCGCAGCACAAAGAAGAGCTAGACACTGCAGTTCGGGACAAAGAACACACAGAGAAGTGTACAGAGGAGTGTACAGAGTACATCAAAGTGTACACCGAGGAGCGTATCCAAAATGAAGAGGCTACATTGCCCTTGACAGAATATGATCCTGATTCGGACGAACCCACTCAAGCATTCTCGCCTCTCTACCTGGAGGCTACCGGAAACCAAGCTTTAGGTTTGGATTTCAACAAGTTACGTCTACACTGTGTCGCGTCCATTGACCCGTCAGCTAGGATCTTGTTGTATCCTAGGATCTCAGGGCTCGGCATCTCTCCATACGGAGGGGCTGGGCGGTATGACAATTGGGTTGAAGTCGAAATGGATGATCGTCCAGATGAACCTGTCAAGGTTCTCGTCGTGACACCAAGCTCTGAGCAACTCGGATGCGTCATCACCCATGACGACGTGAATTTCCGCTTGTACTTCGACCCCACGCAAGATCGTGTCATCCTTCGCAATGACTGTTCACGTGCCATTCTGGGTAGGCGAAGTGATGTTGAGCGGCCAGTGCAAGTTCAACCTAGACAGCTTGCCACATTCCACGCGGGCTCCTGGGTGATTGACATCGAAGGCAGAGCCCTCGTTGACTTTCAGCTACTCCCACGAACTTCATGGGCAATCCCTGCTCGAGTTATTTCTTTGCCACCATCCCCCAATCGACCACCAAAGAGGGTAAAAATAGAACAATCGGCATACCGAACGACTGACGCTTCACGTTGTCTGCAGGTTGTCTCAGCCGGGAACGCTCTTTTAAAACTCGAGAAAGGCGATTCCATATATATCGCGGACAATTGCAGAGGGTATCAGCTCACGCGCCATGTGACAATTTCAGACCAAGCAAATTCGTCTGTGTGGCAGGCAGAGTATTCAAAAATCCCAGGCAGTGTCGTCGTCGTTAAAGTCATAAAAGCCGCCAGCTCCGATGAGCGCCACTCAGTCCGAGCGGCTGAATCCTGGATGCGCGAGTCAGAGATCCACTCCTCGCTTAAAAACCATGTTTGTACTATCATTCTAATTTGTTGTTGAGAACCTGACAAGACTGACCCGCTCGCCAGCCAGCGATCCTCCGTATGCTGGGATCTGACGCTCGGTTCCATAGTATATATATTGAACACACGAATGCGAAATCCCTCGTACATCTCCGACAGGCAACCAGTGATCGTTTCGCTGGCAATGCCTCAGATACGCAGAGGATCTTCGCTGATATAGCCTCAGCACTTGACTTTGTGCACGGGAGCAGGCTCGTTCACAACGATGTTAAACCAGGTAATATATTGTATTGTCCCTCACGGGGAGCCGTTTTGATCGATTTCGGCCTCAGCTTTGTGCACGGCTCTCCTTCTCCCACAGGTGGCTCACCGTGGTATCTGCCACCCGAGTTCATGCGCGACTGGCGCTCACGTGGCCCACCCTGTGATGTATGGGCCTTGGGCGTTGTCGGACTATGGCTGCTTGGCCACCTATCCTTGCCCGAAAAGTCACCAAGCTGGCTGATTGCAGATATACATCCGTCGACGCCCGGCATCCCCTCTCACATGAGAGCTATCGACTTGATGTCTCGGTGGCTTAAGCAAGTCGAGAATGCCAGGTCCCAACTAAGTCATCAAGAAAACCCACCGGCATCTATACTCAGGAATACATTGGCACCGGAGATGAAAGAGCGGATTGATGCTGCAGCACTGAATCAGCGGATGATGGAATTTAGCTCAAAGAGAGCACAGAAGGACAAGCTTGTTAGCGAATGAGCCTGTATCAAGGTGGCCACTGTGTGCCATCTCAAGTTGTGTATGTTCAAAACAAAGTATAGCAATCATTGTACAAATATTCGAAAGTCGAACAATAGAATCAACCTGTAGATTGATCAGGAAAACTGAGTGCGATTTGCTGTCTACGATTATTCGCTTGCATGTTAAAACATTAACGGCCCGGTATGAGCCAACCAGAATGCCTGATTTAGCGCTGTCGTGCCAACACGTTGCTTGAAGTTTTCCTGTCTGAATGGGCTAATTAGGTGTTGCATAAGCGCCCGCCTCCGCCGAGCATCTCATGCTCATCTAATACTCCCAGAGGAACGTCTGCATCTCTTGGCAAGTTGGGTTAGGTTTTCTATCCCTATAAACCTGGCGCCCAGCTCAGTTCGGAGTGATATGTAAACTTTTTTATATCTAAGATCCTTCGTGCCTCCGCAGTAACTTGAAAAAGTCCCCCCCCCCTGATGTTTAAGCGAATGAAACAGCGTCTTTATCAATTTATTTTGAAGATTAAACTGTCTGACATCCCGGCCGCGTGGCAAAATCGTGTCGATTCGGTTCTCTTGAGACAAGAACAGGAGGTTTTTGAGCGCCAGATACTGATTCCACGATTTCTACTGACGAGCATCAACAGAATCCGGATTTTAAGTTTGCTGAAATCAGGTAGTGCGTCCTCAATATGATTTATTATAATATCCTAGACCCCAATATATGACTCGCAGAGGTTCTCAGCCGCATCTATCTCATGATGATCTCACTAATAAGCAAAATTTGATTTCGGTTCGTATCAAAATGGCGACGTTAAAATTATACATCGAATCCATGTCCACCAAGACGGCTCGGTGCGCAAGGTGAACTAGGCTGCAGAGGCCACAAACTTTGCACAGAATACCTGCGTAGCGTCTTGACGGGGATTTCTTTGTGTGATTTCCGTCACAAGAGTGAACTTTTCATCATGTATCCTCCCTCCTACGGACCAATGAATATGAGACGATATATTCTTTATTGCAAAGCTAATGTCCAAGTCGCAGAGTGTGGACTCCTGTCTCCCAAGCTGTCGGTTTCTATTTTCTAGGCTATCGCTTACCGCCATCTCAAAATATGGTGACCTTAACTGTTGGTATCACCAGCTAGGTACTGTGTACACAGTTAAGTGGACAGCATGTATGCTTGAAAGCAAAAAGTCAATTGATTCAGATAGTTGTAGATAGATTAGTCTAGTTGGAAAACACCCCTGGATCCTACACGCCGGCACTCGGCGGTCACAACAACGGGCCGCGGGCTGGCGCAAGAATGCGTTCACCAAGCAAGGGATGATATCCGTCAGTCGCCAGCAGTAACTCACCGCTGGCTTGTTCTGATAGAAGGATATATCCCGACATTAACCAAGGGTCAGATAATAACTCTTTCGCAGTAGATCGATCTTCTGGTCGCCATCGCAGCATTTCCCGTATGAACCGGAGAAAACTCTCTTGCCGCTCGCCCTCGAGGTTTCTTTCAATGTTCTCTAGAGATGTAAGACGAATCTCAGCAAAACCCTTCCATTCCCCTATTATCTGGGGGTCAGAAATACAGACTGGGAATTAAAGACGAAAGCGTGGTGAGCTTACTCTTCTCAAGCATCTCAAGCGGCGGTGGCCCCAGATACGCAATCATTTCAGCAAGATGGCGACTATTTGATTCTTGCTTGTTTGTATCCTGGGCGTAGAAAAGATGGCCTTGCTCGAATAGGTCCTAGGCCTACGTAATGAATGTTAAGAAGAAAACAACACATAGACACGAGAATTGATAAACATACCATGACTGCAACGTTCCAAATGTCTATCTTTCATTCCAAGACAGGCGAAGTAATACCTCCGGAGCCCGGTACATAAATGGCTGTAGGTCATCACAATATGCGCCTGACACTAACCCAAGAGAGTACTGGATGTCCATGCTTTTTGCAATACCTAATCTTCAAGACTGATAGATTGCTCGGTCCTCAACCACTTTACGTGGACTCGGATTTGATATCTCGGCCTCCTCAAAGTCTATGAGAATTGATTCATCTTCAATGTTGAGCATAATGTTCTTTTCTTGTATGTCTTTTGTCAAGTCAGCTTGGATCGTGTCAAAAACATCGAGGGGGCTAAACAGTGTGGACCACATGCGCTTCGGTAAGTAAGAAATCTAGCGCAAGGAGGATATGGATGAGGGTGGGTTTAAGTAGTCTTTCAGGGAAAACCTTTCGTGAGCAGCGATTTCAAAGCTCAAAAAGACTCATGCCCAATGGTGGGTGGACGAGACACTGGTAGAAGTGGGTGCCATCGGCTGAACTGAGCTTAAATTTATCCAACACGTTTCGCACGAGAACAGTACCAGTGTGGCAAGAACTAACACTTTTGAGATGTTCCTAAACCTCGATTGCTCGTTCAGCATGATACGACTCATGTTCATATACTTTTAAGGTAATGTAGACGTCCTCTGTGCCCATTAGCTCCCATAGCCCCGCAATTCGCAATCGTGGAAGGGGCTTACTCTAAGCCTCTGCAAAGCCAAACGGTTGAATATCCCCCATATCCCATTATTCCAACCACTTGATACTTCGAATAAAAGACACTGCCGATATTTACAGGAAAGAAGTTGTCTTTGATACCACGCTATTTTCATCCTCGAGTTTGTCCGTCGAGTCGAGAACAGGGCCGGGTGGAAACCGTCGGGCTGGCGATGGGAACCGCCGTAAAAACGGAGCCCTAAGGCCTTCAAAGAGACGTACGATGCCCTTCATTACGTGGGGCTCTAGCAATTCGAGATGCGGCGCA